GCGGTGGAAGTTAGCCGAGCCGGCTCGCGCTCGACTCTTTAACTTGCCCACAAGTCGAGCTTATTGAGGAAAGAGTTCGAGCTCGAATTTATACTCGAGCTTGTATACTGAATGAGCTTGAGCCCGAACTTAACTCGAAAGCTCGTTGAGTTTCTAGATTGATTGAAAAAATATTTAAAAATTATTTTAAATACATTAAATCAATTTTGTATTAAAAATAAAATTCATATAAAAACTAAAATTTTTAATTTAAAATTAAGAAATAGAGCTCAACCATTGAGTTAGGCTTAAGCTTTGCAAACTAGTTCGAACAATCGAGCCGAACTCGGGCCTATAAATTTTTTAAAGAGTCAAACTTGTGCTCACTAAGAAATAAATAAACTAACCCAATTAGATAGATATGCAACTTAACGTGTTTATAGTTTATACCCCTATATAATATTATAATTAAATTTTAATAATAACAAAATAAATATTTTATTTTATATTATATATTTAATTTCAAATTAATTAAGATTATTTAAATATTTAATTGAAAAAATCAAATTTAAAATAAAAAAATTTAAATTACCGGAAATCATTTTGATTCTTAATAAAAAAATCAAAAGACGACTTTGATTATTATTTCATTTAAAAATTTAAAAATTTTGATGATTAAATTATGATCACAATATTATCACATTAATTTTTGCCACGTCATGGCGATAAATCGCCCTTCCACCTACCTTCAACGGCTCAACTTAATGGCCAACGCCGTTTCAGCTAATCACCAATATATTATCTTAATTAGGGTAATTAGGCAAACAAATTACGCAAAGAACACAATTAATACTACTAAATAACACGGATATTAATTTTTTAAATTAAACAGAAAATTCTTAAAAGTTACAGACACGTAAACGGACCCGACCAGACCCACACCAGCACAACCAAACTTAACGGGACCCATAGTACGATCACAGCCGTCGATCACATGTAAGGAACATTTTCTAGAACTTCTGCAGCTTATCGGCCTGGACGACCGGGTTGGACCGGGCGATGGCCTCCCGGCCGGCCGACTTGTAGTCGAAGCCACAGGCGTGCTGCTCCGGGTACCGGTGGGCCCCACAGAACGTAAACCCGCACCGGCACTTAAACCCGGTGAGCCCCACCTTCTTCTTGCAAGATGTACACCGCCTCGGCCCCTCCGCCACCGGCTCAACGGCGGCCGATTCTAGAGATACCGCAGCTGCTGCGGCGGCGGATGGGGGAGACGAGAAAAGGGCTGTGGAGGGAGCAGAGGAGGAGGAGGAGGATGAGGAGAAGGAGGAAGCGAGAAGGGTTTTCTCGACGGCTATCAGATCCTGCTCTGTTTTGAGATGATCGCGGTAGCACTTGGAGCAGAGGTTATGGGTTGCCGGGCTGCCAAAAAACCCGCAGTTGTTCGCGCATCGGATACCTTCATGGCATCTTCGCTCTTCCGCCATGGATCTGAATCTCTGATTCTATTGCAATTTACCCTAATTAGAATTGATTGCAGTAGATCAAAGAAAAAAAAAAAGAGAAATCGGATAAAGAAATCAAACACCTTTGATTTCTCGAAGAGCAGACGAAGGAAAGGAAAACCGTCGAGACTTCTCGCAAACCAGAGAGAGAGAGAGAGAGAGAGAGAGAGAGACGAAGGAAAGGAAGTCGGGGCGTCGTTTTATGGACGGAATAAGCGAAACAAAAGGCGGTTTTGGCTTTGCCTTATTTTCCTAATATTCCATCGCCTGCCTTAATCCGCTCGTTTTCAATCCCGAGCCATTAATTAAAAGCTCGCTAATACAAATTAATATATCTAATATTTAGATTTTTGAAGTTATTTATGAAGAAATTGATGATAAATAAATTTGAGAATTCTAATAAGCTGGATCAGAGTTCTCATCATGCTACAATAATATTAAGATTTTATTTAGGGTAGTTTTTTTGACTGTTTCTAAAGTAGTTTTTTGTAAAAAAAATTAAGGATTAAAATTTTTATACTATAAAGTTACTTTAAAAATAATAAAAATTACTTTCTTATTGCTTCTTAATGTAGCTTTTTAGTAAAAAAATTTTAATTTTTAAACGATAAAATTTTTTTAAGAAGCAATTAAAAAATCATTCCAAAGAAAATCTAAGTCTCACTACTCCTTTTTTAACATTATTTTTATTATGTCATGATTATTTAATAAATTTTATATTTGTTGTCAATTATCTAATTCGATACTTCATTTTTCTTATTGAACTCTCACACTGTTAATTTTTTTATTGCATTAATTTTAAAATATATTCAAAAAATTGAACTCCATTTTAAAAAATATTTTGATAATATTTTTATCATAATTAGTGCTTAAATCATATATATATATAGATATATATATATATATATATATATATATATATATATTACTTTGAATAAATTAAATTTAATAAAAAATTAAATAATTTAAAAATGAAATGCTATACAAAAATATAAAAAAGTATGCATTAATACAAATAAATATTTATATGTCATTAGGGTATATAATTTCTAAAAAAGAAGGATTATATACATACCACAACATAATGGTTATCAATATATATAATATATTAATTTCAAAATAAATTTACAAATTTTAAAATGCATCACCACTAAGGATTTTTTTTATATAGCTTTTTTCAATTATTTTTTATTAGAAAAAATTGATGTTTTTTTTTCTTTAAAATTTTAATAAATTTATTTTTAAAATAATTGAAAAGCATTATTAATCAATGATTTACATACATATCAAAATTTCTTATATATTTCAATACTATACTTAAATTATTATAATATATTTATATAAAACTAATCTCTAAACAATATTAAAATAATTTGATATTTAATTTATTAAAAATGAAATATATTTTTGATGTGATTTTAAAATTATGAAATATTATTAAATAATTATAATTAAGCTTCTAAAATAACTTAAACATTGGAGCCATCATATTCTGTTATTATTATTTTTTTTCAATTTAAAATGCCGTCTTGCTGCTTAATTACGCTTAAGCCACTGTAACGTGTAGCGTGGATGTGAACGGATAATGACGCGCTTCGTAGGACGTGTCAGAGGCGGTCATGTGGACGCGTTTTGACTTGGATGATAAAGGGTTTGAAAGCAAATAGTTTATTTTATAGGGCCTTTTTTGAAAAAGTTTTTTTTTTTAATTTTGAAATTTAATAAAAATCAATAACAGCTCGTGGCTTTAAATAGCGTCATTTTTAGTTAATCTAATATAATATATCATGAAAAATAAAGAATTTTGATGAATTTTTATATAAAAGATAAAAAAAGTTTGCCATTTTTTCAATTTATTAATACTTTTTATAAATATTATAAATATTTTGATATTTTTTATTATATATAATTTCATAATAATATTTTAAATTAGAATAATTTGTTATTGATAAATAATTGAATATTCCATAAGTTCATAAGGTAATGATATTAGTAATTGATATTAGAAAATGAGTTTTTTATGAGTTATTTAGCTTATAATTTATTTGATAGTATTGTTTGCGTCCTGGGAGTATTCCTGCGGCGGTAGAGAAAATATATGGTTTAACGTTCTTTGCATTTAGGCGAAGAATCCAGCACACAAGAGATAAGAAAGAAGGTCTTAGCCAATTCTAAGAAGACACCAAAGTTTTAACGTGGAAAACCCTGAAAAGGGGGAAAAACCACGGGGCCTGGGACCAGATTTGAATGATCCACTAGTAATTTGTAGTCGATTACAATGAGGCACTTCCTTGGGAGAAGAACCTTGTTGAATGTAGCAAAGGTAGCATCATATAGATTGATTACATTTGTTAGGAGTTACTTATACAGTGTGGTTTGGTAGAAGATCTAAGTACGTACAGGAGATCGGGTCTGAAAGACCGTTGTCTTGGTGATAGAGGTCGGAGTGACCGTAGTAGGCGACGATGGGGTCGGAGGTGAGGACCATATCGGCGGGAACCGGGGGTCTGAAAGACCGTTGGTCTGGTGATAGAGGTCGGAGTGACCGTAGTAGGCGAAGAGAGGTCGGGGACCGTAATCGGTGGGAGACCGGGGGTCTGAAGACCGTTGTCTGGTGATAGAGAGTCAGAGTGACTGTAGTAAGGAGACGGAGGTCGGGAGGACCGTAGTCGGCCAAGGAGACTCGGGGGTCTTGAAAGACCAGTTGGTCGTTGATGGAAGATCGTTGGACGGACCGAGTAGGAGACGAGGTCAGAAAGGACGTAGGCGGTAGAGAAAGGAGTAAGGTGTGTTTAGACTAATGTCACTTGGAAGACTCGAGGTGGTGATGGTCCATGGGCCCTTGAGTAGGACGTCAGGTCTGAACGTCGGCCTGAAGCAATGTCGGGCCTCTCAGCGGGACGTAGGAATTGAACGTTCGGTCTTAAGCGGGGACGTCGAGTCTGTCAGCGAAGTTAGGGCTGACGTGCGGGCTTAAGTAGGACGTCGGCGTCTTTCAACAGCGACGTTAGGGATTTGACGTGACCTTAAGGTAGTGGTGCCAATGAAATCCGCGAGTCGGGGGTCACGGCGGTGCTGTGGTGCGGTGCGGTGGTCCGGCGTGTGTGGTCCCTGCGGTGGTTCGGCGGGTTCCTAGCGTTGGTCCGCAGTGGTTCTGGTGGGACTTCTACGGTGGTTCGGCGGTGGTCCGGCGGTCGTCGAGGAGGAGCTTCTTCCTTCTCTTCTCCTCTTCTCTTCTTGCTTGGACCCCCTCTCATGAGAAATGAGGGATCTATTTATAGATTTTCTGGAGTGGCATGGTCCGTAAATAGGTGTGAGATCAGGGGCGAATAGGGAGTGGTTGAATGGATGACCGATATTGAATCCTACGATCAAGCACCGTTCATTGGTCATTTGAGGGCCTTAGTGATGTCGGAATTCGGCGATCTTGGGCTCGTTGGATTCGTCTCGTTGAACCGTTCGATTCGAGTATAAGCTCGTCAAAATCAGAGCCCGTTTGGTAACTCAAATTGTGGTTTGAACCTTCCAACAGCGCTTCGGGTCCATGATTTGGACCCATTTGGGCTCGGATTTGGTTGAACATGGTGTCGTTGAGTTCGTATTTCCGAGATGCTCAGTTTGACTATAAGTTCGCTGAAATCGGAGTTCGAGTGCTCTCGGAATTAATTTTTGAAGTTTCCAACTAGCTTTTGCCTCGAGATTCGTGCCCGATCAAGCAAATTTTTGTGATGCCGTATCAAGGATAGTCAAAATAAAGTAATTGAATATAAAAAAATTAATTAATGTGATTAATAACGTGAGAAAGTAAAGTTAAGATATTTAATTGGTAACAAAAAATGAGTTATTAATTAGATTTTGTCTATCCTTAGTAATCAATCCTGCAGCCTGAGGTCATATTGCTCCTTTCGACCTCCGTCTACTGGCTAGCTTCATAACAATATCTGATGGTATTGGAGTTGCACTAGTTTGCTTTAACAAATTTATTTCAACTATTCACTCTTACAAAATTCTATATGAATAATTCACATGCAATTAATTATGTATGTAAAATAATGCACCTTAATCTACCTGACTCACAATCGATTCCTATAGCTTAGGTTTACAATTAAGTTATTTCAACAAGTGCTATGATATTAAGTTTGTCAAGCCCTAGAATTTAATTTGAAAGAAGTATTATTTTTTATCTTTTAATACTTTTTTAATTTGTTTTAATAATTAAATATCAGTGGAAACAAATTTATTAATCAAAACATCAATATAGTAATATATTCATATTCCAAAAAATTATATAATATACTAATAGTCATTTAAATATAACACCACACTTCCCACTTATAAGTACGAAAGAATATTAAAAGATAAAATAAATAATTATTTCAAATTAGATTCTAGAGCGTGACACGTAACATGGAGTTTACCACAAATTTAATTTTTCATACATGCCTAAAAAGAATGGGGTATCCGAAATAAAACATCATCACATATTTGAAACTACACATGCTCTCCTTCATGGTGCCTCCCTTCCACCCACTTTTATGCTAGAAGCTCTACAAATGACTAATTACCTTATTGATCGCCTTCCATCCAATTCACTTGCACATAAATCCCCATTTCAACATCTCTACAAAGAACTACCTAACTACACTTACCTCAAACCATTAAGTTGCCTCTGCTTCCCCTAGATGCAACTCTTATCTCTCAACAAACTCTCTCCATGATCCACATCCTACATCTTCCTTAGCTACTCTTCCTCCCACCACATTTATAGATATTACAATCTACTCACCAGTAAACTCTTCATCTCTTATCATGTTGTGTTTCATGAACAACTTTCCCATATCGACCATCATCCTAACCTTCTGCCACAACTAACAACTCCTCATTCATTTCACCTCTCTCTATTGTACCCAAATCTATCTTACAAATACAAACCACAACAAAACCTCCTCCCCCGTTCTAAATATTTTTTACTCCACACACTCCACCTAAACCACATTCAACCTCCCAGCCTTTCAACTCCCCAATTTCCATTACATCTCACATCCTAACCCCTCCTCTAGTAAACAAACACCCCATTCTCACTCGATTATAATCCGACCGCTACAAACCAAAGAAGAATTTCACATCTCATCCACTATTCCCTCTCCACCGAGCGCCACTCCATGCCTCCAAATTTCCCAAATGACACCATGCCATGTATGCTAAATTTTAAGCTCTCCATCATCAAGCAAATTGGT